GGCGTGAGATGTCTCAACATCGAAAACTATCATTTGGGCCGTATGTCGATCGTCTGTTTCACACAAGAATCATTTGAATATGCGCTTGGACTCCTTCGCGATCCTTTGAGCAGTTTGTTACCCTTCCGCGTCTCTGTATCTCCCTCGGCCTCTGGTGCGCCTGGTTGCGTTTGAAAATCATCACGGTTCGTTAGGCCATACACCACAACAGGACCTATATGAAACGCCCAGCTGTAGCGAATTGGTTCGCTGCAAATCCGGCTATCGGTGTGGCCGTACCTATTCTAAACTAAAAGAAAAACATAGGAGGTTGACCTCGATTTCAGCTAACTCTAGCGGAGTGGTCGCTGTCAGAGAGAGAAAGGGGGGCACAGCTAGGATTTGAAGAAGATGGGGAAGGACGGGGGTTTCTTCATAAGTAGTTTTTTCGAAACGAGCAAGTGCTAAGCATGCAACAGGCGAACACAACCTTTGCACCTGGTACACACCACGCCAAGCATACTCACCTCTGATTATTGTCTGGTCATCCTGGTTCATCTACATCCCCATGGTGGCATGGTGGTAAAGAACGTGCACGCGCACTGTTGGTGGTAGACCCAACCGATGGGATAACGAAGAGTCCAGTGCGCCCTGAAACCCCGTTTTCGTATTTTTAGCAGCTGTTTCTTTCCATGTGCGTTGACATCCCCCCTCTTGTGCTCATGTATGGTTGGCTCCGATTCATGTCAGGCGGCTCGCGAAGTGATCGCCATTCGAGAGAGGCAGGACGAGTTCCAGGGACCATACGCCGAGGCCTGGGCGTCTTTCCACCTGGGGGCGATGGTGGCTGCGGAGGGGAGGGCAGCCAAGTCGAGATCTGAAGCCTTTGAAGAGATGTGGGTGCATCGCAAAAGAAAAGAGCTTGGATAAACGAAACCAATGCACAACGAGGAAACGCTTCGTTTCACAACGAATGCATGACAAATCAGTTTGAGTCGGAAACGTTTTCCATCAACCCGTTTATTCCATTCCGTACCAAACATGCTCATGATCCTGGACCACCCGACCCAATCGATATACCGACTGGACCAAGGTACCCTGACGATACCGCAACCCAAGCGGTCAAGATCGTCGCCACCCAAGGCATCAGCAGCAGCAGCAACAACAACCTCGATGCCGACAACGCCGCCGCCGGCGATGATCCGGGATACGAAGCTACGGCTGCTGCTGTTGCTGCTTCTACCGCACCAGTGCTAGGAAACGATATCCCGTTGCCGTTGCCGGAGGCGCTAGCGTGGTGCGCGCTGCACGCGAGAGCGGCGATGATTGCCGAAGAATCTCTCGCCGTACAGCTCGCAGAGCGTGATTCTAAGGTGGAAAACACGTAAATTGTGGTGAACCGTTGACAATACAACCGGTTTTCAGTCAGGGCCATCGGCAAACAAGGGAGAACTTAACTAATTTAGTACTCTTCCAGCGTCATATCCACCCATGAATCAATTTTCGACTAGTCTTCAACTTGTTTTGCAGGATCACCATACCGACAACCAGTCTAGGTTTGGACGTTACTGACGATAAACATGGCGTACCTGAGCGTCAATCGGTCGAGGTCAATATCGATAGTTCCGGGGGGGGGAGGGAGTACGATCAGAATCACCTCCAATTTTTCATCGTGTAACCAAAACCTGCGAGGCAATTGTTCGCAGGACACACTCCTCTCTACTTTGCGTTGTCACTCACAACACACACCAACAGCACATTGATATCGCCTGTAGTCCTCTTGTCCTAACGCCTACTAAAACATTCGGATCTTTCAGGCCGCGGCGGAACAAGAAATATTGGAGTGTAGGCTCAAGATCCTAGAGAACAACAAATTAGCGGAAGCAACCGCACGAGCAGCGGAGGGAGAAGGAGAGAGAGACGAAGCTCAGGGAGGTCAAGACGACTCCGGCAGCATCAACAAGAGGTCTGGGTCATCGGCACAAGAATTGACCCATGCTACCGTCACTGGCCGACAGAAGGAGGAAAAACGCTCGCCACCCGCATCGCCCACGGCAGCCGCAGCCAGCAAGGGAAACAAGAAGAACGCAGGCGGTGTTAAAAAGAGCAAGGCGCAACAGGTGAGAGTTTTTTGGGAAGAGAGTTTTGATCTGTGCTCACCCTCGGCCACCGTTTTGTCCCACTTGTCTCGCTCCTCGAAGTGTGCCACAACAGCCCCCGGCTCGAGCCGTTAAGTGCCTTCGAATCCGCTTGGGTGTTGCAAGAACTGAAGGATCCATCGTTCATATTTACATCCCAATCCCCGTCCCATCCCCGCGGCGCCAGTTTGCCGAGAAGCAAGAAGCCGAGCGGCGAGCGAAGGAGGAGGAGGAGGAGAGGCAGCGGCGGGAGGCCGAGGAGGCGGAGGAGGCGTTGAGGAAACAGCCCAAGAGCAAGGTGGACCAGGTCAGGGACCTCTTGACGAGCAAGCTGTCGGAGCGGGTCGAGCTCTGCGGGGAGCTGCTGGTGCTGCTGCGAAGAGCACAGAAGAAGGTGCGAGAAATGATGGGAGAGAGTGGAAAAACGGATTGGTACTGGTAACGTTGTAAGTCTCGCGTGGGCATGTAGGCCTGTCGCAATCAGGATCGACTTTGGGAGGAAACACGAGGGTCACCCGTAGCGTTTCTGACTAAGGGGATCCTTCTTGCTTGTCCCCCGCCGGGGGATTCTTTTTCTTGTGAAACTTGACTATACCCTCACGGGGGGAGGTGCAAGGAAACAGTCTGCACAATCATTTTGTATTGGCTGATCAAACCCTAACCACGGGGTTTGCTGTAGGTACCTTCGCAAACGGTCAGTTTTCTTTCTATTATAGTTGCATCTCGACTTGGACCTTTTGGTGGCCATGAAGCCTATCTATACAGACCTTCGCTTGTGGGTTGGTGTCGAGTGAGGAGAGAACCACGGAATGAGCATGTGTGTACAGCGATAATACTGTAGGAATCGCGCGCATATCATCTGCTTCTGCAACGGAACCCAGTGGTGATAATATTTGCAGTACATCTCCAAAACCTGAAGATACTTCATTGAAATGGGGCGATACAAACGGGCCAAACGAAATCACGTGGAGCCTGTCATTGTGTCACACTGTATGCATATGTGTCGCCTCGCGAGAGAGGGAGGGCGCGACAACACTCTCGTTGGTGTGCAGATTTGTTGTCTTCCGCGTATTTTTTGCGTTACATGTGCAAGCGCAGAGGCAGGCCAAACGAAGAGGGAGGCTAAACGGGTACGCTCCGTATTTGCTGTCTTCAACTGAACACCTTATCGCGAGGATTTGTATTCCGACCCTCCCCCTTTCCCCGCCTTCCCCCCAATCCCTCGCCCCCCCTCCCGTAGCCGCTAGGTCCGTCATTACCTACCCAACCAAAGTTTCATCTTAACTTTTGATCCGTGGGACAAACACCATCACAACACAACAGTACCCTCCCCCGTTTCCGACACCGCCATGGATAAATCGCAGGCACTGGAAGACGATTCTCCCGAAAAGGCATTGGCCGATCCGACCACCCGTCCGTCCGAGCGGCAGGGCAAGCACGACCAGCTGCTAGCAGACCGCCAAAAAGCTCTGGACAGCATCGCGCAGAGGATCACCGAGGCCGAAGCGAAGGCCGAGGAAGCTAGGATAAAGTTCGAGGCCGCCGCCGCCGCCGCCGCCGCCGCCCGTGACGGCGGTGGGGCGGGAGACGGTGGGGCGGTTGTGCCGGCAGGCGGTGCCGGAGAAGGATGGGCGTCGTATCTCGACGAGGAGTCGGGGCAGTACTACTGGTTCAACGAGCACACCGGGGAGGCTTACTACTATGAGGGCGATGGCGCCGCCGCCGGCTGGTAGTCTGTCGCGGCGGTGCAGGGTAGTACTTGCTGTGCTTGTACTTCGTTTGTAAATGTGTAGTCTGTGTAAAGACCCCTTTCCAGGTACTGCACCGCTTCTTAGGCATTCATTCGTCAAATTGCGTTGTTGAGTCCGTGTGTAACAGGTGTGGGAAATGCATCACGTCACCAGTTGAAACACGTCATGAGGGTGTACCGTGTCTGATACCTGTGTTGGTTTGTAGTAGTAGTTGCCCCGTCGTGTGTCCCTTTGTTGACAAGGTATCCCATCCGTCCCCCATGCATGGCAAGAAATTGGTAACCGTAGACCATTTGTTTTTGTAATTCAAATGAAGCCGTAGAAAGTGGAACAGAGAGGTCCACCAGGGAGAGGGACGGTTGAATCCCCACCGCGTAGAACGCGAACTTCAGCACCTTGGAAGGAGGTGGAGAGCAAAAAAAAAACTGTCATATCTAAACTATGGCCTCCCGCTGCGTGACCTTGACTGGTGTGTCGAAAGGCAGAAAAAACTAGCGTCCCGAGCAGACGGAATGGCAACGCAACACACGGCACAGGACACCGACAATAGAAACTGCATCTCTCCAGTTCGGGTGCAAAAAAAAACAGGCTGACGAATCAAGTCTTCCTCTCTCGAGAACGGCCAATTCTCGGCGATGTTGGCCGCCGTGCTTTGGGACTGCCGTTTCTTCGTGGTGCGCTAATCATGCGGTACGCGCGCAGCATCCCTTCGGATCCATACGAATCGAATCCCGCGTATCAGCCCCAACCGACAACGCTCAGGGAAGTACGTGCACAGATCGCGCGATCTAAAATTCCGCTCGCGAAAGACAACATATTTCGCGCACGTGGGGCCACATAGCTGTCTGGAGGGTCAGAACCTTGACTCGAGTCCGCGGTAAGAGAGAAACGCGCGATACCAACATTGTTTCGACCTAGCGCCGAAGAAGGGTTTGCGGCAAAAAAAAATGACAACCATATGTGGGTTGACGAAAAAACATCATGTTCGTCGTGTTGTCGAAAGTGAGGTTTCACAGCATTTTTCCTCGTGTTCTTAGGGGTCAAAGGCGCGGATCCTGGGCTGCCACGACGCAAATTACTGGAAGGCCCTTAGCATGTTGCCGAAGAGAACACTGAAAGAGGATAATCGTGACGACGGTCGTTCAGGAGAAACTGAGGAAATACTGCAGCGAAAGACAAGAAGAAGGTGGTCGCGTTCGGCCAGCGCAAACCATGCGGGGATTAGAACAGCTTTTCCCGAAAGAAACGAGCGCATCATGCCGTGTAGCCGTGCAAACTGCTTGCGTTCTCCTTGTTTCTGGAAGCCCTGTCCACCACATTTCTACGTACTCGGGAGATGTTCAGCTTTTCAAGCAACGAAAGATGTCTTCCTGGTGCCCTTGCATGATCGTCCCACACCCAACCGGGTACGGCAGAGCATGGACGCTAGTTCGAAGGCTACCAAATGCTAGCGTGCGCCTAGTGCGCGATCACTCGCCCGAAATCAACTCTGACCACCTAGTAGACACCACCCCTTGTACCACCCAGGCAGCAAAAACTACCCCTGACCCTAACCCAAAGGAACCCGGCTTCTTGGTACGACTAAAATATCTGGTTTTGGACACAACAGGCGCGTACCTTGCGCACCAATCAACACCACTACACCACAAAACATCACAAGAGACCGAGGTAAAAGCATATTACACGTTTGCCTACATACAATACAGCAGGGGTCCTGCGAAGAACCCACAACGAACGAACTAAAGGCCACACTCCACGTCTACGCACAAAACAGAACGCTGAAGAGGTGTACCTGAGTTCTAGACTCAACCGGTACAATAGCATACCCTATCTAAGGTAGAGGTCATCACGCACGTGTGTGGCGTCGTCACGACCCCTGCTGCTCCAAGCTATGATCGAAAGCGCGAGTCAGTAACCACGGGTCGAGCGGGGCGAAGGTAACCCCGAGATGCACGATGACGAGGAAGCTGACGAACTCATCGAGGGCGACGTAGATCCAGTCGTATTCCCACGAGAGGATGAACACCCTCACCATCAACAACACCTGCAGCAACAATTGCCGTACGTGGGGTTAGTTCGGCTCAACACAAAATCATGTGGCAGACAACCAAGATCATGGGTGCCGGAGAATATATTTTTACGGGACATGGCAAAAAAAAGCACCTACGGGAGGGAGATTTCGTTCACCGTCGAGGATCACCGGGCGGTGCAGTGCAGGGACCCTACTTTTGACAGTAACATCAACCACATCAACCAACGCAATCGGAATCCGTTTCAATGCCGACTGGATTGGAGCCAGGACAGAACCGTCAGGCACCCCGTATCATGCGCAAATGAGGAAAATGCTTCCCTCCAGAATTACATCAGGGAAGCCCACCTCTCCGTAACAAAACAAAACAGTGCGAGTTTCCAGCAATTATCTTCCTTCGACAAAAAGTATGGCTACTCGTGATAAAGGACATAACAACAGGCAAGCGAGCGTTCTCGAAACGAAAGCAAGGGATAACAGCGCGCGCGATGCAGTGAAACAAAAAACAAAATCCGACAGAACGATACAGCTGGATTCCTGTGAGCAAGGACACTCTGGTTACAGGAACGACATACATTGCGTTGCAGATAATAAAAATGTGAGTCACTGGTCTGTCTGCCATATGGGTTCCACTTGAGGCCCTCTGTCTAACTGTTCCTCCGCTGGTTCTGCGGATCTTTCCGTGCGGCCCGCATGCGCATGTATGTCACTGTATGCACATGACCGACTACAGCACATACTGCAACCGCCCGGACATCACCGCCCGGCATATTGTCTTGTCCTCTCACGCCCGGGGAGATAATGCCCCGGCCGTGCCGATGATGTGCGCGTCACCGCGCCCGCGCAGACTACGCCACGTCAGGCTGGTTCTGCGTCGACAGGGCTGAGGATCGGTGTGCTGTGCATACCTCGCCTCCCCCCTCGTCTCTCACTCTTTTCCTTTCCCTCTCTTCCCAGGGACCACCACTGGCTCTTCCTAGAGAAACTACTCCGTCCCGCTGTCTGTCACCAGCGGTCCCCACCGATCGCTCCGGAAGTCTCCTCTGTCCCTACAGTTGAGAGAAGGTTCAACCCCGTCCATCGGTCCGAGGTAGCTTACACTCTTATTGGCGTCAGCTGCAGGTTAGCCTCCTGTCCTCCTCAGACCATGTCTTCCGCCGATGAAATCGCCCACCAACTCGCATTGTCCCATTTAGCCACAAACGGCGAATTGCCCGCCGATCAACCCTGCGAACTCTCCGTCCCGCCGGTCGCAGAAGCCCGAGACACTCCGCCCACCACCGGCGGCCACGTCGAGGCCAAGGGCTTCGACCCAGCGTTGTGACCGCTGGTGACAGACAGCGGGACAGAGTAGTTTCTCAAGGAAGAGCCGGTGGTGGTCTCTGGGAAGAGAGGGAAAGGAAAAGAGTGAGAGACGAGGGGGGAGGCGAGGTATGCACAGCACACCGATCCTCAGCCCTGTCGACGCAGAACCAGCCTGACGTGGCGTAGTCTGCGCGGGCGCGGTGACGCGCACATCATCGGCACGGCCGGGGCATTATCTCCCCGGGCGTGAGAGGACAAGACAATATGCCGGGCGGTGATGTCCGGGCGGTGATGTCCGGGCGGTTGCAGTATGTGCTGTAGTCGGTCATGTGCATACAGTGACATACATGCGCATGCGGGCCGCACGGAAAGATCCGCAGAACCAGCGGAGGAACAGTTAGACAGAGGGCCTCAAGTGGAACCCATATGGCAGACAGACCAGTGACTCACATCCCGAGGTAGCTTACACTCTTAAAAACAAAAAAAATAAAAAAAGATCGTGTCAGCGTCGCTCGCTCACCGTGGGCATGAGTAAGTACGCCAGGAAAGTCATACGGTAGGACAGATACCGGCTCAGCTTGACGTACTCGAGGGCGCTGCTGCTCGTCCAAGGGAGCTGCTTTTACAATCAATCGTATGCATACAACGAGCGTTTGTGGTCAGCATATGCACACACCCATACAACAGGGGGCGCGAAACGGTAAAGAGTCCAAGAAACATCCACCGATCGGGGCACCGTTGACCAAACCCAAAAAATATCACACACGACGTGTATGGGTATCCATGACATTGTATGACGTAACTTCGACTGCGCTGAATGGTTGGCCGCCTAAATAAATGATGTACAGACGAATGTCACAAAAGGACAAGAAAACGCAAACACGCTTCTTAGTCCGCAGGGGGTGGGGGCGCAGATGAGACGCAACCCTATGTGTACGTATGCGTGTGCGTCAGAGAGTCGATCCTCATCCCGACACCACCCGACTCCCTGCACCAGACAGACTGCCTTCCGCACCCACCACATCCTTGCCCTCATTACATCACGTATCTACCTGTATACAGAAGCGGATGTGCGTGATGTTGAAGTTGATGGCAACGACGGTGGTGAGCATCACCAGGCTGCGGACGGCGTACGCCATGAGGCCGACACCGCTGCACCAGCTGGAGGAGTTCGTGTCGTCACAGCTGGCGTCAATCAGGGAAACGCCTGCATAGAACCCGATGGTGATGGTTACCTGCAAGAATGGGGGGGTGAGCGGTATGAAACAAGGAGTGGTGGTCGGAATGGGGGTGGAATCGGGCTGTGCATCTGCGCAAACAAACGGATGACAGAGGCACGAAGGTCTTGCGTGGTGCGGCTAGGGAATGTGGGGAGAAAAGGGCGGTCAGGGGAGAGGGGGGAAATGGGCCGGTAGAAGCATCTTGAGGCAAGACTAGAAGAGAAAGCGACAGTGCAGCATGTGAACTACAGACGCAAGCATCGACCTACAAGGATATAGCGAGACACGGAAGGAGGTTAAAGCAGTCGCGAACGAAAGATGGAGATGGAGGCCTGATTCTATTTAGCACTGATTTTTTGTGACGAAAGTACGGTACGGCATGAACGAAAGACAAACAAGCATCGCTCGTTAGAAACGCACTCTCGGGCAAGTCCCTCCAAACAAGACAAGGGTGGTAGAAAGATCGGAATCAACATGCGACGAGCAGGCCATAATGAACACGACGACAATGCGAACAGTCTGCCCACAACTCAGGATGATACCCTCGGGAATACGTCGGCAACGGTGCTTTGCTTTTGGACGCACAGCTAGAGCACTGCTGACAGTAATCGTCCCTTCCCAACGAAACAGGAACCAAGACATGGCGTAAAACTACACAACCATCTCCCACCCAGCCGCCACCTCCAAGTGATTGTACAACAAAGCGACGACGACGATTACGACCACAACGACGGCCGCGACGACGCCAGCAACAACAACAACACCCAAGCGACTCACCAACCAGCCTTCCTTGGACCGAAGGGCGGGCCGTATGAACCCCCAGCCGAGGCTGAACAGCAGCAGCGTCAGCAAGAACACCACCTGGAACAGGACGATGAAGAACACCACCGCGGCGCCAAGCAGTCGATCCCTGTCCCCCTCCCCGCCGTGAACGCTCTGCGAGCGGCCCGCCCCCACGTGCGCGGCCGCACCGCCCGAGAGATGACAATGCCGTGCAAGGCCGGGACGAGGCGAGTGGTCATAGCGGCGGCGCGACGGGAGAGCACGAGAGCGCATCATCATTTTCTGGTTGGAGGTACGTGATTGGCGCGCGACAAGCCAGGACGGCAAATGGGATGGACGCCGAGCACACCCTGTCGGCAAGTTCGTCAAGCCACTCCGCGAGTGAGTTCCAGCGCTTGCTCTCGGTACGGAGCAGGGTCGTGCGAGACAACACGCTCGTCGTGTGGAAAACATGTGATGATCGTGGGGAAGGTAACCCCCAACAGGAGCACCCACCTGTCGGTGGAAGTAGATCGCCCGAAGGATGAACTGCACGGTCTTGACGACCACGCACGCCAGGCACAGCGAGTGCACGGGCAGCACGTGGCGACGGAGACGAACCATCTCGCCCAGCCACGCCGCGGTCAGCGCCACGTAGACCACGCTCATCAACTGAGACAGGGAGGGAGGTGTCGGGAGAGGGGGAACGGGAGAGAGAGAGAGAGGGAGGGATAGAGAGCGGTGTTGGATGGACGACCACAAGGACAGCACCGAAACGTCTGCTTCTTGCATAAGGACACGACGACGGTCATCAGAAAGATAGCGGCGCGGGGAGTAAATTGGTGACGGAGGACAGTGAGAGACGCATACCCAAATGACGCAGACCCAAAGGAAGCAACAACGGCAACAACAGTCAAAGTGTATCGGCCGACTCGGGATACAACCCACAAGCGAAGGGACGAGCGAAGCGACGAGGGCGACGCGAACGTGATGCCGAAAGAACGCGCGGGGTGAGCACAACAAATTGAAACACGTGAACAAAACTCGCGTGTATCATCACGTGTCGACCCGAACCCGCCAACACGGCATGAGGGCGAACCAAGGACAAATGACACGAAAGAGGAAGAGTGAACGAATTGCACACGAACGTTAACAACAGGCAACAAGAGGGGGGGGGGGGGCGG